ATTCCCGGGCATTAGAAACCTTGAGTACAGAGACAAATTAAAGCATCTTGATTTGCTCTCCCTCGACGGACGTAGAGTGAGAGGCGATATGATAAAGGTGTATAAATGGAAGTCAAGGTTAAACAAAGGTGATATAACAAAGGTACTTAAACTATCCAATCACGAGCGAACTCGTAGCAATGGTTTTAAATTGGACAACTTTAGCTTTAGGGGTGAGATAGGTAAACACTGGTTTGGAAATATAGAGGATGAGTGGAACAAGTTACCAAACATCATCATTAACTGGAACACGCTGGATAGCTTCAAATATAGGTTGGATGGGCCTAATATGGGCCAATAGGCCCGCTGCACTTCCCCCATTCTTATGTTGCCATCAAGTGGTTAAGGACAAAATTGTGATTGAAACTGCCAAGCGTCATCAAACTCCGCCATCTTACTGACCATATTGGATGAATCGAAGCTTTAGTTAATGCTTCGACTCATTCATTCGAGGATTGGTGTTGGGTTAACCACCCGACGAAAGTCAGTCAGATTGTGGACAGTGTGGTTGCCGGCTGTGGGTCTCACCTCCTTCTCCTCCTTAGTGGTAAGTTCATTGTCATTTGTACTGTGTGACCAGTCTTCACTTGTGTTATAAGTGTTACTGCTCTATTAGGTTAAGTATTGTATATTATAAATTATTTAATTGTAGGCTTAATAGTGTTATGTTATGTCGATGGGTATATTTTCATTCTGAACAAACCTGCTATTTAGTTATTGTCTGATTAGTGTTTCTAGACTACGTTGTAAAAAGTCTAACTTAATAATATAAAGTTATTTTACTCTAGTTTTGCTTTACCCACATTTGAGAGTGACCAGTCTTTGAAAACGTTTCCTGGTAATACTTATTTTAGTCGTGAATCCAATAGAAGTAAATGTTCACAGTATGTACACAAATAAGCCTCAGATGAACACCTACAGTAAAATAGTACTGTTGTAAAATAACATCATAATCTGTCACATATTCAGTTACTCCCTGTGAGAGACTAAACGTAAATAACAAAATTAATGATTGATATTTTTTCACATAATTTACAGGAAGACACGAGAAACATTACGTGGGTGTTGTTCTTTTCTTCATCTTGTCCTTCAGTTTGTCCCTGAAGACGACAGCAGCGACTATGAGAGCCAACAGCAGGACGCCCACCACCACACCCGCCACGATGCCTCCAACATTGACGCCCTTGTCTGTGGTCACCGCGTCCCATACAGGTGGTCCAACACCTGCCGCCGTCCCCGCCTGCACATCAACATGTGCACCAAGATATTATTAACCAAAAGTGTTAACTCAGGCAAGCACACGTCCTTCATTAACTGTACTACGGAGTGAACATTCAGGTAAACAAAGATCTTTTGTGGCAGTTCTCCAGAAGCACATCCACACAGTAGACCTAATAGTCAACTACTGTACTTTCCAATAAACTTCTACAGAATTAAATACATTATTATATATAATAATAGACAGATAAATACGGTAAGTATCTGCCAGGGAAGAACATCACTGACCGGATGTGGCAACACTGACTAAGACAGACAACTTAATAAACATGAATGTTTACAGAGTATAGCGTCTATAACTTGTAGAGCAACACTTGTGATGTTACCAGGACAAACATCACAAAGGATTTACAACATATTGTGAGGGAGTACACTGTAGAGTAACACTGTAACATTGTTCCTGTAGAATAACACTGTAATATTGTACCTGTAGAGTAACACTAACATTGTACCTGTAGAGTAACACTGTAACGTTGTACCTGTAGAGTAACACTGTAACATTGTTCCTGTAGAGTAACACTGTAGCTGTTATACACTGTAACAGGTACTAAGGTAACACTGTAACATTGTAACTGTAGAGTAACTACTGCTTACTCTGCATGGAAGCATGTAACATTGCACATATAGAGTAACATTGTAGCTGTTGAGTAACACTGTAACAGGTACCTGAGAGTAACACTGTAACATTGTAACTGTAGAGTAACACTGTAACATTGGACATATGAAGTAACATTGCACCTGTAGACTAACAATGTAACATTGTACCTGTAGAAATCACTAACATTGTACCTGTAGAGTAACACTGTCACATTGTACCTGTAGAGTAACACTGTCACATTGTACCTGTAGGTAACACTGCATAACATTGTACCTGAGGGTAACACTGTAACGTTGTACCTGTAGAGCTGTAACATTGTACCTGTAGAGTAACACTGTAACGTTGTACCTGTAGACTAACACTGTAACATTGTACCTGTAGAGTAACACTGTAACGTTGTACCTGTAGAGTAACACTGTAACATTGTTTAGGGTAACACTGTAACGTTGTTACCTGTGAAATCACTGTAACATTGTACCTGTAGAGTAACACTGTAACATTGTACCTGTAGAGTAACATAAACGTTGTACCTGTAGACTAACACTGTAACATTGTACCTGTAGAGTAACACTGTAACATTGTACCTGTAGAGTAACACTGTAACGTTGTACCAGAGTAACACTGTAACATTGTACCTTAAGTAACACTTAACATTGTACCTGTAGGGTAACACTGTAACGATGTACCTGTAGAGTAACACTGTAACATTGTACCTGTAGGTAACACTGTAACGTGGTACCTGTAGTGTAACACTGTAATATGTACCTGTAGAGTAACACTGTAACATTGTACCTGTAGAGTAACACTAACATTGTACCTGTAGAGTAACACTGTAACATTGTACCTGTAGTGTAACACTGTAACAATGAACTTGGAAGGTAACATTACATACATGTAGAGCTGTAACATTGTACCTGTGGAACAACACTGTAACGTGGTACCTGTAGTGTAACACTTTAACATTGAACTTGTAGAACAATAACATTGTACATGTAAAGTAACACTAACATTGTACCTGTTAGAGATACACTGTAACATTGTACTGTAGAGTAACACTAACATTGTACACTGAATATACTAACATTGTACCTGTAGAGTAACACTAACATTGTACCTGTGAAGTAACCTAACATTGTACCTGTAAAGTAACACTAACATTGTACCTGTAGAGTAACACTGTAACATTGTACCTGTAGTGTAACATTGTATAGTGAGTTGGACTGAGCCAGAGATGGTGTAGGAGGTCAGGTTGTGGGATAGGCTCTTGTTGTTGGCTCCCAGATCAGCTGGTAGAGGTCAGCTCACCGTTCAGCTGGACGGGTTCATCCCAACACACCTTGACGCTGCTGCTCTTGTCTGTTAGGTTAAGGGAGGCTGGCGGCCTGGTGCTGCCAAGGTAAAGTTTACTCCTCAATAAAACTCAAACATTTAGTGAAGAAACACAAGTTAGTTTCTGGATCCTGCCAAACATCTTATTAATTTATCAACACAATAAATATTTTAGTTTTAACTCTTATAACAGAGAATGAATACAATATGTGGCCTCCATATAATGTTTTACACATGACGGTAAACTCAAGTTTATTTTAATATTGATTTTGTTTATTGGTTAAAGTTCTAGCACTCAAACACTTAAAGCTTTTGTCTTATAAGCTGACTCCAGGATAGTGGTGATGCTGTGTCACCAGTAACACAGATTCTCACCTGACTCCGGGGATGGTAGTCATGTTGTGTCACCAGTAACACCAAGATTCTCACCTGACTCCGGGTAGTTAGTGATGCTGTGTCAAAGTAACACCAAGATTCTCACCTGACTCCGGGGTAGTGGTAGTCATGTTGTGTCTCAGCACCCAAGATTCTCACCTGACCAGGGTAGTGGTGATGCTGTGTCACAAGTAACACCAAGATTCTCACCTGACTCAGTAGTGGTAGTCATGTTGTGTCATCAGTAACACCAAGATTCTCACCTGACTCCAGGGTAGTGGTGATGCTGTGTCACAAGTAACACCAAGATTCTCACCTGACTCCGGGGTAGTGGTAGTCATGTTGTGTCATCAGTAACACCAAGATTCTCACCTGACCCGGGGTAGTGGTAGTCATGTTGTGTCACCAGTAACACCAAGATTCTCACCTGACTCCGGGGTAGTGGTGATGCTGTGTCACCAGTAACACCAAGATTCTCACCTGACTCCGGGGTAGTGGTAGTCATGGTGTCACCAGTAACACCAAGATTCTCACCTGACTCCGGGGTAGTGGTGATTTGTGTCACCAGTAACACCAAGATTCTCACCTGACTCCGGGGTAGTGGTGATGCTGATACCAGTACACCAAGATTCTCACCTGACCCGGGTAGTGTTGATGCTGTGTCACCAGTAACACCAAGATTCTCACCTGACTCCAGGATAGTGGTGATGCTGTGTCACCAGTAACACCAAGATTCTCACCTGACTCCGGGGTAGTGGTGATGTTGTGTCACCAGTAACACCAAGATTCTCACCTGACTCCGGGGTAGTGGTGATGTTGCGTCACCAGTAACACCAAGATTCTCACCTGCTCCGGGGTAGTGGTGATGTTGTGTCACCAGTAACACCAAGATTCTCACCTGACTCCGGGGTAGTGGTGATGTTGCGTCACCAGTAACACCAAGATTCTCACCTGACTCCGGGGTAGTGGTGATGTTGTGTCACGAGTAACACCAAGATTCTCACCTGACTCCAGAGTAGTAGTGATATTGTGTCACCAGTAACACCAAGATTCTCACCTGACTCCGGGGTAGTGGTGATGTTGTGTCACCAGTAACACCAAGATTCTCACCTGACTCCAGGGTAGTAGTGATGTTGTGTCACCAGTAACACCAAGATTCTCACCAGACTCCGGGGTAGTGGTGATGTTGTGTCACCAGTAACACCAAGATTCTCACCTGACTCCGGGGTAGTGGTGATGCTGTGTCACCAGTAACACCAAGATTCTCACCTGACTGCGGGGTAGTGGTGATGTTGTGTCACCAGTAACACCAAGATTCTCACCTGACTGCGGGGTAGTGGTGATGTTGTGTCATCAGTAACACCAAGATTCTCACCTGACTCCGGGGTAGTGGTGATGCTGTGTCACCAGTAACACCAAGATTCTCAACTGATTCCGGGGTAGTAGTGATGCTGTGTCACCAGTAACACCAAGACTCTCACCTGACTCCGGGGTAGTGGTAGTCATGTTGTGTCACCAGTAACACCAAGACTCTCACCTGACTCCGGGGTAGTGGTAGTCATGTTGTGTCACCAGTAACACCAAGACTCTCACCTGACTCCGGGGTAGTGGCTTGGCAACAGTTCCAGGCACCAACAATGTTGTTGACAATCACTCCAGCTACACACACGTTGTAAGCCGTCCACGGTGTTAAGTTCCTCAAGTCCACATATATGGTGTCTGTGTCTCGTGAGCCGTGTGTGTTGTCGTGTGACCACAGCACGTGGCCAGTGTAGTTTACTGTATACCTCAGTACTGGACAACTTGACATGATACTCGACCATGTGACGGTCAGGTCGTGAGGGGAAGTGGGCAGGTCACAGCTGACCTTCTGTGTTGCCTCTGGAGCTGAGGAACAATGGTCACGAGCTATTACCATAGGCGAGGAAACAATGGTCGCCAGTTACTACCTTTAGAGTTACTACCATAGCTAAGGAACAATGGTCACGGATTATCACCTCAGCTGTGGAACAATGGTCATGAGTTCTTACCTTAGCTGAGTAGCAATGGGCATGAGTTACTACCTTAGCTGAGGAACAATGGTCACGAGTTACTACCTTAGCTGAGGATTTTTTTTTAGAGTTAGCCCACCTGGGCACAGGTCACTGTCCCCAGCTGGGCCTGGGGGGCGAAAATGTAGTAGTAATAATACTAATGATAATAATGATAAAGAACAATGAAGAAATACAAAAATGAAAAAAATCAAGAGTGAGAAACAATGTATGTATGTTGTGTTGTCAAAGTAAGAGAAACAATTGAGACCCTGCAATTGTGAAATGAGGCAGAAAGGCAAATAAGCAACCTAGGACTTGGTCACAGTTTTTGTGTCTACCATTAGACAATACATTGTGCTTAATATCTTCCCAGGCGGTAGTACCTCCTTATTTGGTAGCTGCCTACTACCTACTAGTGGTGATGCTGTGTCACCAGTAACACCAAGATTCTCACCTGATTCCGGTTAGGTTTCATAAGGTTAGTATACCATGCTGGTCATTCTCACCCTCCACGCCTTATGGGTTAGTGATGCTTGACCGAACTTACATTCAGCATTATCGTACATCAAATTGTAAGAACAGAAGACTGGTGGAAACTGCAGCGGACCTATCTATTGGCCCACGTATGGGCAGTCCCATTTACACCCAACCCCTATCGCTCATATATCCATCCAACCTATGTTTGAAGCTATCCAGCGTATTCGAGTTAATGATGATGTATGGTAACTTGTTCCACTCATCCACTACTCTATTTCCAAATCAGTGTTTACCTATCTCGCGCCTAAGTTTAAATTTGTCTAATTTAAAACCATTGTTACGAGTTCGCCCTGGCTGGATAGTTTGAGTACCTTGTAATTCCTTTGTTTAGCCCTGACTTCCATTTATACACCTCTATCAGGTCGCCCTCACTCTACGTCTCGAGGGAGTGTAAATTAAGATGCTTTAACCTGTCTCTGTAGACACACACACACACACACACACACAGAAACGCGCGCGGAGGAGTGAATTAATAGTTATAATATACACTATAAATAATATAATTAGAACAGTCCATTTGGTCACTCACGGTTCCCATCTGTACTGCCACGGGCGTCACCCCGTCACCATAACCTTTGATAGTGGCGGCCTTGACAATGATATTGTAGAGGGTACACGCTCCAGGCTGGTGATATTGTACTGGGTAATGTTTCCAGTGACACCGGCCACGACCGACGTGTTCCAGGTAACATTGTAGTTTGTTATGATGCCTCTGGGCTTCTCTGGGGGCTCCCCACCACCAATAAAGAGTCTGAAGTTGTAGAATGTATCCGGGTGATGGCTGGAGGTCCCGCTGGAGGACAAAATTACATAAAACTGTAGTTAATAATAATATGATAAAGTCCTCTGTGTACTTACAATGATTAGTAATAACATTACTTTTATAAGCGTGAACCCTGGAAGTAACACGGATAAACGTAGCGGATACTCGCCGAACACTTATGGGAAAGTATAATATGAAAATAAAACTTCTTGTTATTGGTCTGCAGTTTTCGAGGTAAAGAATTTATCTTGTATAGAGAACTGATCTAACTCACAGTAGGTGGTGTAGGTGCGTGAGAGAGCTAAGAGAAATATTACCAATAATTTAGTAATGTTTTGTTTCTCTGTTTTATCGGAGTTGGTCACGTCCGGTCATCTGGTGTAATATTTCAACTTCCGAAAAACACACAAATATACACTACAGTACAATGTATCGCAGAGGCCGAGTGGCTACAAGACGCGGCCGAGCCTGTAGGATGGATATATTACTTGGGGAAGTGAACGGCTGTAGAGAACAATACTGTTACCTGTACACCGACAGCAAGTGTTCAGTGTGTTGCTCCACACTGCCTGTGGGACCCACTCTCACACTGATCCCTTCTATATACAGCAGGTAGTAACTAAACACTACCCTACTACAATGTACTACCACCATATACTACCATGTACTACCATTACCACCACCATGTACTGCCACCATCAGCACCACCATGTACAAACATTACCACTACCATGTACTGCCACCATATACTACCATGTACACATTACCAGCACCGTGTACTGCCACCATCACCACCACCATATACTACCATGCACTACCATTACGAGAACCATGTGCTACCACCATCACCACCACCATGTACTACCACCATTATCACCACCATGTACTACCATTACACCACCATGTATTACCATTACCACCACCGTACTGCCACCATCAGCACCACCATGTACTACCAATTTATACTACCATGTACTACCATTACCACCACCATGTACTACCATTACCACCACCATGTACTGCCACCATTACCACCACTATATACAAACATTACCACCACCATGTACTACCACCATATACTACCATGTACTACCACCATACACCACCATCACCACCATTATCACCACCATGTACAACTACCATCACCAACCCCATGTACTACGACCATTACCACCACCATGTACTACCACCATTACCACCACCATGTACTACCACCATGTACTCACCACCATTACCACCACCATGTACTATCTCCATATACTACCATGTACTAATTACCACCACCATGTACTACCACCATTACCACCACCATGTACTACCACCATGTACCACCAATTACCACCACCATGTACTACCATCACCACCACCACCACCACCATGTACTACCATCATCACCACCACCACCACCACCGTACTACCATCATCACCACCACCACCACCACCATGTACTACCATCATCGCCACCACCACCACCACCATGTACCACCATCATCACCACCACCACCACCACCATCACCACCATGTACTACCATCATCACCACCACCAACACCACCATGTACTAACATCATCACCACCACCACCACCACCACCATGTACTACCATCATCACCACCACCACCATGTACTACCATCATCACCACCACCACCACCACCATGTACTACCATCACCACCACCACCACCACCATGTACTACCAACATCACCACCACCACCACCACCATGTACTACCATCATCACCACCACCACCACCATGTACTACCATCATCACCACCACCACCACCATGTACTACCATCATCACCACCACCACCATACCATCATCACCACCACCACCACCACCATGTACTACCACCACCATGCATTAATACCATCGTCAACAACATTCACTATAAACATCACTATCCCACTTGCATTAAGCATCACCTTCACCATCAACATCACCATCAGTATCAATATTACCATCAGTATCAACACAACCGTCAGTATCAACAACACCATCACTATCAACATTATCAACACCACCATCAGTATCATCATCACCATCAGTATCATCATCACCATCACTATCAGTATTGCCATCACCATCATCATCATCAACCATCACCATCAACATCATCAATATCAACCAGCACTCTCATTATCATCATTATCACCATCAACATCACCATCAGTATTGCCATCACCATCATCATCATCCACTACTCACTGTCCTCGTCTGTCGTTGTGTTGGTACATTTGTCATTATTGTATTTTGTTTTAGTCGTGGCGGCCACACACACTTGGTAGGTGGTCCAGGCCTCCAGCTGGGTGATGGTGTAGCTCAGCGAGGTGGTGTAAGATGTACCACCACCATCACTCTCACTGACGGGGCGCCAGGTGATCCTGTAGGTGACGACACAGTTACCGACGCCTTGTACCGCGGTCCAGTTCACGAACAGCTGAGAGGACTGATCCATCACCTTGGCCGCCATAACGTCCTGGAGGTAGGGATCAGGGTCTGGCGGATAACGTACAGCAACAGTTAGTAAGTATTTTGGGTGTGAAGCTGAGGACGTGTTTCATTAAAGTGTTGTGGTGAGACCATGTTTTCTCCCACAACTAAGTGAAGGTGTTATAGTGAGAGCCCAGGCAGGACCACTGGTCACAATATAGATACACTCACCATCTTCCTACTTTATAACTCTTGTCTATCAAAGGAACAATACATGTACAAGGTTGTGGTGCTGCACAGTAAGTGTGGTGTACTTTCCTGTTACAAGGAACAACAACTGGTTATTATTTACTTCTTATTCCTGAATTAAGGAGAAAATCAACAATATTTCAAACATGAAAGACAAACTAGTGATAGTGTTTACAATGGAGGGTGGCGAAATCTACACACACACACACACACACACACACACACACACACACACACACACACACCTCACTTATCAACACTTCAGAGCCCTTAAATAATGTTGTAAAATAAGTAGTCTCTATACTTGTCAACAAATCTGGTGTTATGGTTAGGTTTTGACTTTCACATCTCTGGTCACTAATGGATCAATGGCAAACACTATTACTATAAGAGTCAATAGTAGGTTCAGCAATAATAGGGACACACTAGGACTGGATAAGAAACAGTGATAGCTTTGAGAAGGAGACTGTGTGAGCCTCACCAGGGCCCCTCGGTCAGGTTCAGAGTTATTATAACATTATAAGGATTCAATGTTTTTCTCATGAGGTTAAGGGACTGCTGTCTCTTTCTTTCTCATGTGGTAAGGACTGACTGTCTCTCTCTCTTTCTCAGTTAGGGACTGACTGTCTCTCTCTCTCTTTCTCATGTGGTTGGGGACTGTTCTCTTTCTCTCTCTTTCTCATGTGGTTAGGGCTGACTGTCTCTTTCTCTCTTTCTCATGTGGTTAGGGGACTGACTGTCTCTCTCTCTTTTTCTCATGTGGTTAAGGGACTGACTGTCTCTTTCTCTCTTTCTCTCATGTGGTTAAGGACTGACTGTCTCTTTCTCTCTCTTTCTCTCATGTGGTTAGGGACTGACTGTCTCTCTCTCTTTCTCATGTGGTTAAGGGACTGACTGTCTCTTTCTCTCTCTTTCTCATGTGGTTAAGGACTGACTGTCTCTTTCTCTCTCTTTCTCATGTGGTTAGGGGACTGACTGTCTCTCTCTCTCTTTCTCATGTGGTTAAGGGACTGACTGTCTCTTTCTCTCTCTTTCTCATGTGGTTAGGGGCCTGACTGTCTCTCTCTCTCTCATGAGGTTAGGTACTGACTGTCTCTCTCTCATGAGGTTAGGGACTGACTGTCTCTCTCTCTCTCATGTGGTTAGGGACTGACTGTCTCTCTCTCTCTCTCTCATGAGGTTAAGGTACTGACTGTCTCTCTCTCTCATGAGGTTAGGGACTGACTGTCTCTCTCTCTCTCATGTGGTTAGGGACTGACTGTCTCTCTCTCTTTATGAGGTTAAGGGACTATCTGTCTCTCTCTCATGTGGTTAAGGTACTGACTGTCTCTCTCTTATGAGGTTAGGGGACTGACTGTCTCTCTCTTATTAGGTTAAGGGACTGACTGTCTCTCTCTCTCTCATGTGGTTAAGGACTGACTGTCTCTCTTACGAGGTTAAGGGACTGACTGTCTCTCTCACATGTGGTTAAGGTACTGACTGTCTCTCTCTCTTATGAGGTTGGGGGACTGACTGTCTCTCTCTTATGAGCTTAAGGGACTGACTGTCTCTCTCTTATGAGGTTAAGAGACTGACTGTCTCTCTCTCTCTCATGAGGTGAAGGGACTGACTGTCTCTCTCTTACGGGTTAAGGGACTGACTGTCTCTCTCTCATGTGGTTAAGGTACTGACTGTCTCGTCTCTTATGAGGTTGGGGACTGACTGTCTCTCTCTCATGTGGTTAGTACTGACTGTCTCTCTTTCTTATGAGGTTTGGGGACTATCTGTCTCTCTCTTATGAGGTTAAGGGACTGACTGTTTCTCTCTCTCATGTGCTTAAGGGACTGACTGCCTCTCTCATGAGGTTAAGGACTGACTGTTTTCTCTCTCTCATGCTTAGGGACTGACTGTCTCTCTCACGAGGTTAAGGGACTGACTGTTTCTCTCATATAAGGTTAAGGGACTGCTGCCTCTCTCTCATGAGGTTAAGGGACTGACTGTTTCTCTCTCTCTATGTGCCTAAGGGACTGACTGTCTCTTACGAGGTTAGGGACTGACTGTTTCTCTCTTATAAGGTTAAGACTGACCGTCTCTCTCCATTGGGTTAAGGTACTGACTGTCTCTCTCTCATGAGGTTTAGGGACTGACTGTCTCTCTCACGAGGTTGGGGACTGACTGTCTCTCTCATGAGGTTAGGGACTGTCTCTCTCTCATGAGGTTAAAACTGGCTTCTTCTCTCTCTCTCTCTTTCTTATGTGGTTAGGGGACCTGTCTCTCTCTCTCTCTCATGAGGTTGAGAGGTACTGACTGTCTCTCTCTCCTATGATTGGGGACTGACTGTCTCTCTCTTATAGGGTTCAGGGACTGACTGTCTCTCTCTCTCTCATGTGGTTAAGGAACTGACTGTCTCTACGAGGTTAAGGGACTGACTGTCTCTCTCATGTGGTTAAGGTACTGACTGTCTCTCTCTCTTATGAGGTTAGGGGGACTGACTGTCTCTCTCTTACGAGGTTAAGGGACTGACTGTCTCTCTCTCTCTCATGTGGTTAAGGTACTGACTGTCTCTCTCTCTCTCATGAGGTGAAGGGACTGACTGTCTCTCTCTCTCTCGTGAGGGTGAAGGGACTGACTGTCTCTCTCTTATGAGGTTAAGGGACTGACTGTCTCTCTCTCATGTGGTTAAGGTACTGACTGTCTCTGTCTCTCTTGAGGGTTAGGGGACTGACTGTCTCTCTCTCTCTTATGAGG